AAAAAAATTACAAATTGTAAAACAAGTCAAAATCAGCGTAATTTGCTAGCAATTAAACTGTAAGCGTATTCCTAATTTTCTAATTCAAAGAAGTACGTTTAAATATTCAAACTTTATTCGGAAAAATACCACGCTCGCATCTCCACGTGTCCACAATTTCCGTTCCAAATTAGGAAGATTTTCTTATGAACTATCATTCCTGTAGTTGTTTACGGAAAGGCTGCAACATATTTACTCGGATGGAAAGGAACAGCAACGTGGAGATATAAAGGGTATGTTTTAACATAGACTAACCAACACAATACAAGTAGGCATTTATAATCCTACTAGCTGTACCCGCGGGCTTTGCCCCGTTTAACTTCACAAGTGAACTCGTTCGCATGGCTCAATCACGTCCTGGTTGAAGTTAGTTCGCTACGCTCACTCACCTTTAGGTTAGAGCTCGTTCGCTCTGCTCACTTGCCTTCAGGTTAGCTCGTTCACTACGCTAACTCGCTTCCAGGTTGAAGTTCGTTCGCTGGCTGACAACGAACTGCACTCACGGTCAAAGGAATTTACAAGGGTTGGAAGGGTAGCCCGCCTATAGGCCGGGGCCACACTTGTAATTTTTAATCAGCGAGACTGCATTTTCCGTTTTCACGTGTGACGCACGTGAAACAGTAAGACCGTGGCCACACTCGTCTTTACGAGATAGGTTTTTTGGGCAAACCAGTGAGACTGATAGAGCATGCCACACTGGCAATAAAAATCGTCCGTGTCCGTGATCCGGCTCCCCCCCCCCCTCCACGCTCACTGCACAGTAACAAACAGGTTAAAACTAGAAACGTCCGTGGAAAAAATTCAGCGAGATAAGATGAGTGTGTTCACTCCCATAAGCCGCAATGCCCCGCGACTAGTTTTACGTGCAACGCCCGTGGTTAGTAGAGAATACACGTGCAATTCCGTTTGTCAGTCTCGCTGGTTTTACCAGCGAGACTGACAAACGCGTTCACGGACGTTTTTACTCTAGTGTGGCCTGCCCCATATACCGTAATGTATCTCTCAAACCCACGGGTAACGCCCGTGGAAAAAATTCAGCGAGATAAGATGAGTGTGGCCCCGGCCTAAGATGAGTGTGTTCACTCCCATAAGCCGCAATGCCCCGCGACTAGTTTTACGTGCAACGCCCGTGGGATGTTAGTAGAGAATACACGTGCAATTCCGTTTGTCAGTCTCGCTGGTAAAACCAGTGAGACTGACAAACGCGTTCACGGACATTTTTACTCTAGTGTGGCCTGCCCCATATACCGTAATGTATCTCTCAAACCCGCGGGTAACGCCCGTGGAAAAAATTCAGCGAGATAAGATGAGTGTGGCCCCGGCCTAAGCCATATAGAACTGCACTCGGCGGCACACGTATTCGGCTCCAAATTTGACCACCGCTGTAAGGTTAATCAGGTGTTACTAATCTCACAACCCAACCTGGCTCCGAGGCAGTTTTGAGGTAGGCGAGCTGGGTTCCCCCTCCACAACACCAAACATACACCCCTCATTCTCTTCTTACCCTACCTCGAACCCTAGACATACCCCTCCACAACGCTCTTTTTCTCTTGCTCCCTGCAACCCTAGGCAAGGCATATCTTCGCCATGACTCTTTTGGTTAGGCTTTGGAATAATAATGAGCGGCGGATCCAGTGTTATCTTCCCGATGTCACCATATTTCCCGATGTTACAATTGTTTAATGGAAAGAAATTGTTGAAATGTACTTCCTATCTAGATAATAATAGTTATTTTAAGAATCGAGAATATGTGAACATAGGCTAATCTATAACACATTTTTGACAAAGTCTCAAATTTAAATGTAGTTTACTCCTAGGCCGCGTTTAAGAGGAATTTCACATTGAAACATGTTGTAATAATATTATTTTTGATATTTTTTATGAATTTTACATGCTGTAAAACCTATTCTGATCATGACTCCTCCTTAATGATTTGTTATTACTTCAATTTAGGTAATAACTGTTAAAATTAATAGAATGTTTTAATTCAACAACGTACTCCTGTACTGAATGTTTTTTAAATTAGTAAAACGAAGTACAGTAATAAGTGATTATCTAAGAAATTAGAACATTTCGCAATACAATATTTTAACATTGCATTACAATTTTAAATGCTTATAGAAGTGAGTACTGTGACTGTGTATTATGAAGTCTATCTACAGTATATACTGTACTGTCTGTCTTTCTGTGATTTCAAAACGACTCCTGTGATGTTCTTTAAATTGTAAGGAATATCTTATTTTTCGGGCCAAAAACAATATGATAATGTTTGTCAAGTGGGTGATGCATAACATCATTATTGACATGCAGATTGTTGGTTAATTTACATTGATTTGACAGTTATTAATGTAATAATTGTGTAAATATAAAGATTTATATGGTAGCTTCCTATTTACAAACAAAAGTTAAGCGGTCTCGGGTAACCAAGAACACTTAGGGCATTTAATTTTACAACAAATTTTAGCTCGTATTTTTTTACATTTCACCCTAATCGTAGTATTTGACGATTATAATCTGTCTGTTAATATTTTGAGGACCCAACTTATTATAAAATAGGAACGGTATCGATCATAAAGAAACAAATGACCCGAAAAGAAATATGTTTGTAATATTATTATTTCAATGCAACTTTCAAAAAACCTCGAAAACACATGTTTAAATTTGGTATTAGATTTCATCCAGTGACGTAATTCTTTTTTAGTTTTTGACCCATGTACCGTGTCTGTTCTACTATCCGTGGACGACCCCATCGTTGCGACGTTCAGCGATCCAATGACCACATTTCGCTACAAGAACAAGAGAGCGCATGATATTCGCAACAATGCTGGTTAACAGCTGAGAAGTTAAATATTGTCACGAGTTTGTTATTGAACTTTATTGTAGATATTTTCAATAATGACTAGAGGACCCATGCTGCTCCGCAGCGTTAAAATAATTATAACATCCGAGAAATAATCAAATTAAAAATTTCTGATTGACGATCAATAGCTCAAATTAAAGCCTATAATTTAGTGATTATTTTGAGTATAAAACATATGGAAAAACATGAGAAATACTGGAGCTAATGATAATTTAATGTTGAATAATTTTTATGTTGGTTGTTCACCTTGCGTTTGCTTGAAACTCGTTCGATTTGATTAACTAATACCTTAAATGAATGCCAGTATTTAACTGAAGGTTCTTGAACTAAAATATATAGGATTATAAAATTATAACTGGTAAAGGTACATCTTAAATAGAAATAAGAATTAGATAATAAATGAAACTATGTGTTTTGATCAAGTAATATTGTAGGTAAATATTTGTCAATGCTTTATGTGAAAACTTGGCGTGCATGCTTTCAATTTTGAGACCTCAATCATGAAAATCGGTCGGGTAGAAGAGCCAAACGTAGTCGGAAAAGAAAAACTAAGTTTTTTTTAATATATAAGATTGTTCGTCTGTATGGAAATGATTATTAGTTAAATTAAGCATGAAGGGGGACCAACGAAGAGAAATTGCCTTTACAACTTAATTAAACGCGGCAAAATTTGAAATGGAGTGATTTTCACGTCGAAATTAATTGTTTGTTGTTATTTATAAATTAATGATTGTTATTTAGATACATTTTAAATGTTATTCAGTATGAAAACCAACCTCTTTAAACTCGTATAAAAAAATATGCTCTACGCTCAAGAGCATACAGCAAAGGCTATCACATTTTTTCTCGTAAACCCTTGAACTCAGCCTTTGAAAATACATTATACAGCAGTAAACCACATCTTAGAGTTTTTGAAGTGTTTATTTGCAGTTTTTACTATATTTTTTGTTGTTTTTATGTATACACTTTAACTTATTTCTAAGGGTAAATTCATCAGTGGTATTCATTATTTATGAATAAAAATTACATTTTCTTAGGCCTAGAGCACAAAGCTGTACGATGAATGGCAATTAATTAAAGTAAATTAGTTCGTAGAAGAAACCGGATGTCACTCATAGGCCAATAAACTATAAAGTATGAGATTATTTATTATAACATCTTGTCTTATACAATGGCTCAGTTTTGAAAACTGTAAGGAAATTATTTATAAATGCCAAATTTTCCATTTGGTATTTTTTACTGTGTCAGTAATGCAGGTCAATGAATATAAATGCGAGGTTATTTAGGTTTTCAATGACTTGAGACGACAGCGCGGTACCCAAATGTTGTGCAAATAGCACAAATACGTGAGCATTATAAAATATTATTACAGTATATAATTTGCCTTATTACTTAACATATGTGGGCGTACGTTTATTTTTTAACGTCTCCTACAAATTAAACACCACGAGAAATGATCGTTCCGTGGTACTTGTAATAATGCATACATAACGATTTATTAATGACATTATGTACACATATTTACTATGTACATTTATTCTGGCCGTTCTTTTTGACAAAGCTTTAAAACAAGTCTAATCATTTTCAGTATATAACAGTCCACTTTAAAAATAATACTTTATAGTATTTTACTCCTAGATTTCAGTGCCAAATATGCAGGGTTGTTTATTCCCCTCTACCATAGGCTGGAAATTCCCAAGCGCCAATTCGCAAAATGCCATTACCAACCCTAAACACAAGAATGTGGTCAAAGATCAGTTGTTGACTGACCCAACACACGACGACACCTTTAGTTTGTCCTAAGTGCGGATTGAGTTGACACGTTGGCTGCTAAGCTTATGTTTGGTGTTTAGTTAGTTCTGTTAGACTATCATTGTTTATTTAGTGAAATTGTTTTATTCGGATGGAAAAGGTGTACAGTGAGAGAGGGAAACCTCTTATTATCCATGAAAATAATACTTATCGTTTTTATAAAGACATAAAATCAACAACGGAACAGTGTTGGCGGTGCTCGCGTGGTAAAAACTGTAACGCAAAACTGTATACGCTTGAAGATGGTAGTGTATTTTCTCGCGTCGTGTCTAACCACAATCACGATCCTATGGAGGAGAAAGTGCTTAATCGGAAAATAGTAAATAACACAGTAAAGAGGAAGATTGAAGACATCGAAGGGGATAAACCTGCGCAGAAGATCCGAAAAGTGGCGGAAGAACTAAAGAAACCATTGTCAACGCTCACACGTCAGGATGTTACATTTATAAGGAACAATTTGTATCGTGCGAAATCCAAGACAATGCCTAAGCTTCCCAAAACGACAGAAGAACTTCAAACTGCTCTCGAAAACATCACTACCACCACTAGCAAAGGTGAGGAGTTCCTACTTGTCAACGATCGTGAAAATAAAATTGTGATTTTTTCTTGTGATGAAAACCTCAAGTTTCTCTCCAAAAGTGAAACAATATTCATGGACGGAACTTTTGAGTATGCGCCTAAATACTTTTTACAAATGTTCACAATTCACGGGTTTTCAAATGGTGTCTACGTGCCTCTTGTATTTTGTCTTCTTAAAGACAAGAAGAAGCAAACGTACATAGATGCAATGAAGAATGTCCAAGAAGAATGCCTGAAAAGAAGACTACAACTTCAACCCCAATGGATAGTCGTGGATTTTGAACAGTCGATCCATGAATGCATCAAAATCATCCTCCCGGAGGCAAAGATCGTTGGTTGTAGGTTTCATCTAGGACAATCGTGGTAAGTAATCTATTGAAATAAAATTACATTTTTGTTTGATCATTTGCGTAGAATCATGTTTTGGGTTATTTTTACGTGTTATAGGTCTACTCAGAATGTGGGCAGATTCTGCCTACAATCTAACTTATAATACAGATTAGTGAAGATACCGTACTCAAGTTTGGAGCTTTACAGAAAGTTACTAAACTAATTAGAAAATCACGAAGTACATTTAAATGTTTTTCGTTTTATTCTTTGTATTAATCTAAAAATGATTTTTTAAAGCTCTTTTATACAAATTAATGCGACAGTTAGAATATAAAGGAGCGTTGTAAGAGTATCAAAAACCAACTTGTGACTTGGAAAATTAGTACAATGTACACCAAACATCAGAATTTTATAAAACTTCAATAGAATGTAGACATATATTATAAATTAATTTGTTTTCAGCATTCAGAATTTTAGATTTTAGTTTCAGAATATTAGTATTTTGGTTATCGGAATTTTAGTTACGATCAAAAAAGTTTTTGTTGTTAATTATGAGAAGTAGCTTTTTCTAAGAAACGTTAAACAATAGAAACAAAATTAAAAGCTAGTTTTGAAGGTAATTGTCCTAGCAATGGAAATATTTATAATGCAAAGGCATATTGTCACGGATATTATTGATATCAACTAGCATTTAATTAGTTGCGCTCGCTACTTGGGCTCATCACAGCCGGCAGCTGCCCTCTTATCGTAGAGTAGAAAAAAAGGCCACCGCATGCCTATCTAGTTAGTTTAAAGTTGTATCAAATAGAAGTTTATACAAAAATAATGTTGTTTAAAACACTTTTCTAAGCAGTTAAAATTTAATTTTAATCCGTGTTTTACATAGCCTTATATGATTAAGAAAAAATCATTATTTTATTTGTTCAGTAAAAATTATCCGAACATTTGCTACAAATGTTTAAAGCAGAATTTAGGAACATTGTCTAGACTCAGCTTCCACAGTGACTTAGTAGGCCTTCCTACCGCTCACACGAGTTAACAGTAAACAACGGCTGATAAGTTGTGAGTGCTCGTTGTCCGTCTCTGCGTGTTTCGTAAATAAATATATTGTGTGAGCTTTTGATTTTGACGACCCTCTTGAGAGGGTATTATGTTCTTGATGACCTCGTAGAAGTTCGAAACTAGTTTTTTTTAGTTATTCTTTGCAATCTAGATCGCTTAATGTTTTCAGGTGGAGAAAAATCCAAAACTTAGGATTATCATCTGTCTACAAAGACAAAGACTCAGAGGAAGGGAGATGGCTTCGCCATTTCTTTGGTTTATCCTATCTCAAGCCAGAAGATGTTGAAGAGGCCTTCTGCCAGCTTGTCGGCACCCAGCCAGTCAAAATTAAATTGACATCATTTGCGGACTATTTGTGCGACACGTACATCGATTGCGAGAACCAGGCAACGTTTCCGCCGCATATGTGGGCAAATGAATCGGCAGACCTCTGGAGAACAACCAATGCCTGCGAGAGTTTTCACTCTAGGTTTAATTCAATGTTTTCATCGGCACATCCAAATATTTTCGTCTTTTTAAAAAACTTGTTATCGTGTCAAACGGACACCTACATATTGTTGAACACTGTGGATGTATCCTATTGTAGAGTATCAAAAACCACGAAAAACAGGCAAGAATTTGTACAAAATAAGTTGCGGCAGTTGCAACGAAAGGAAATAGATGTGCTTACATTTGTCAAAGCAGTTTCTCACATTGCTGCCGTGTAAATTATTGTAGTGATGCAGTCGGGTACTAGTTGACTAGATTGATTAGCCTTCTCTCATTTGCCATGACTATCCTAATATTTTAAATGCATTTCTCTATTTTTATAACCTTGCTTTATTTTTAATATTCTTGCTTTACTTTTTATCCATTGTAAAATTGTCATTGTATTTTTTTATTGTGATTTAGATGTTTTAAATGCATTACTTAACTGTTGCATGCAAACTTTTGGATTTTAGGACCACTTGGAATTAGTTTAATGGTAAAAGCTGTAGATATTTTCTGTATTTTTATAAATTATTTATGGATTCTTACTGCCAAAAAACAAGTATTAATCAATATCTTAAAATACATAGGCAATTTATTTATTCACTATTGAATTAACGAGTATTTTATTTTACTTCAAAAGGCAATATATTCATTGTACATTTCACTGTTATTACTTTTTACTGTGATTACACTGTATTAATGCATTTCTTTATTTTTTTAATCCATTAAACAGATGTCATTGTATTTTTTTAAATAGTGATTTTGATTTTTTATAGTCTTTTTCAAGTTGTTATTGTATTTCTTTATTTTTAATTCTAATTTTGATAAAGCCTAACTGCATTGTTTTATTTTTTCAAACTGATTGTTAAGTTGTGTATGTGTTTTAACCATTTTAAAATGTATTGTACAGTTTGACAAATAAAAATTATAAAAGCCACAAGGCCGCTGTTTATATTGCCAGACTTGATTTGTGAAATTAGACCAAGTCATTCTAGCAATATACTAGTGACCTGTACTATTCAACGGAGGAGCTGCAAAACTGATAAAAAATCGCAATCTTGTGAACGAGTTGTAATAATAGTTATAGTTAGTATTGTCTATCCCTTCGTGTTGCAGCTCGCGTTGCCTTCATTCACATTTGGTTAGTAAAGCTCGGTGCCCAATTATTTTAAGGGAGGTATCGTGAGGACATGGAAAGTGTGAGCCTGGAGGGGTAAGGAGAGAGTAGTGGAGGTGGAATGGGTAAGAGGGGTGGCTGGAGCCAAGTTGAATACTGTCATGGCGGCGGGTGAAAGGTTCAGAGCTGAAAACGTGTGTTTTTTTATAACATATTAAAGTTGGAGCCAAATTGAAGAACTCCCCTGCACTCACGGTCAAAAATCGGTCTTTCACGGCTGAACGCTTCGCTAGCCCCTTAGTCATCTGTTTATTCCGTCCTCTGTCTTACTTTATCCAATACTTTATTTAATACACGTTTTAGTGTCTGTCCCAATAAATACAACAATAAATACAACAATAACTAACCTAACCTAACCTAACCTAACCTAACCTAACCTTTACAAAAGAAGCTTCGTTATAATAAGAATATAGCCTATCATGTTATCGTAAATACTATGCTAGAAATGTGTATTTTTTACAATGTCAGTAGTAAGTTTATTTTTTGACGTTTAGATTAATTTAATCAAAACTTTTCAATATATTTCAACTAATTTAAGTTTTAATCAATTCAATCATGGTGTTGCACAATGTGATATAGGCTAATTAAAAACTGACCGTGAGTGCAGTTCCGGTACCCCCAGAAAGGCTCAAAGTGACCGTGAGTGCAGTTCCGTAGTTGGATTAGGATAGGACCAGGGACTGACCTTGAGTGCAGTTCACGCTCACTCACCTTTTGGTTGCAAATTAGCTGTAGTCATAAATTAAAAATAATAATAGTGCTGCACCCTGTTGGTAGTCCTTGTAACTTTAATGCTATTGAACATCATAGAACAGAACCAACTTGTTTAATTGAAACAGCTGTTAAGCAATTCATTTTAAATATGAAAAATCATAATGTTAACATGGGAAACTCCAGAGCCAATGGGGCGGAGCCCGAAAGCCTGATCAGAATAAAAACTAGTTTTCCTGTTAATGCCCAAAGAATCGGTGTACCGAATTTCAGCCTCCTAGGTAAATGGGAAGTGGGAGAATTAGTGATGGGTGAGTGAGTGAGTGAGTGAGTGAGTGAGTGAGTCAGTCAGTGAGGGCTTTGCCTTTTATATAGATTCTAAATGTAGGAGCTCGTTTGTCATGTATTGTTCATGTCTGGTGACAATGATCGCTAGTGTCGACGAAACTTTGTTCTATTATTTTAGGGTTAATTTCACGATTTGTGCTTTGATGTTTTGTTATTTAACTAGGGCACGAGTATGTATTTATGATAAAATCGTTTTGGCTAAACGAGGTTTTGAATGACTGAATTCAATAGCTGTTTACTACCATACAGTGTTTTTTTATAATTTGACAAATGACACTATATCAATTTTATTTATGAAAATAAGTAGTTTTTCAGGAGAAGTCAAGATAAACAATTTAGCGCCTGGTTTACCAGTTGACCTACAATATTATTTTTACCTTTACTATTGTAGAAATCGGCCTTGACTCCAAACGTGCTCTCTTTTGTTTTATTCAAGGCTCCGAGACAATGAAGCGTTAATCAAATTAACCCCTCACATGTTGGTCATGATCGAGCACAATAAGTACTGGTTTGGGTATAAAGTGTATAATTATATAAATATAGTTGTATAGTTATATAAATAGATGATATAAATATAGATGCATATATTTATATCATTCAATCTATATATTCTTCAATCTATATACTTTGAGTAGATATTTCATTTGATTAGTCATCAATAGCGGTAAGTTTGATGTAATAAAGTTTATAAAGCGTTAAAACCCCGATATTCATTTTAAAACACCCAGTATATGACAAATACAGGGTGAGGCTATAAGAGCACCCAAACTTAAAGCCTAGTTTAAATGTAATATGTTCTCGTCTATACATAAATACGGGATGTTTTAAAAATAATCATCCGATTTCGATTGGTTTATAATTTGAAAACTAATTATACAGACATGAGGTAAATTTTATATTAAAGAGTAACTAATAACGTTTTTTTTTACATACCATTTACAAGTGCTCAATATGACCCTCTTTAGATGCACAGCATGTGCAACTTGCAATAAAAATTTACTTAGAAAGGCTTACAAAAAGATGGTGTGAAAAATATTGAAAAATGGAAAATAAATGTAATTTTTTGAAAGAAGAGCGTTTATTGGGATCGAAGGACTCCATTTCCATTCCATTTCCATTTCCATTTCGTTTTGTCATGAGAGCCGAAGCCCCCTGACTGCATACCCGGTACCTATCCTTTAGGACATACCCGGGCCCCATGATGTAGGCCGAAGCTTACGCATCAACCTTTAGCACATCATGGGCGGATGACTTAAGGTCATCAGGCTCGCCGGCTGCCGAAGCAGACCCTTCGGAAGGAGGGTTGCCCCTCAATCCTAACCAGGGATTCCGGCTGCTTGTTTAAGCGTCACTCCACCTGGGTTCCACTAGGTCGAGACCTAGAGGTCCATGGTAGAGCGCCCCGACGCATTTAGTGCAAGCAACACTCGGGACCTATCTAATCCCTGACAGGCAGAACCCGCCATCGATAGCCAGGAGGAAGGGGACCGTCAGCACGCTGACGGGGGGAACCCCAACCTCCCATTAACACCGCTGCCCGATCGAGGCCTTACCCATTGCTGGGAAACCAGAGATAACCAGAGCGATAGATCCCCAGATACCCCTGGCGGGCTCGGACCCAGCACCCGATCTACTTCGTTTGCCCGTCAGACCCAACATCACTGCCAGGCCATCAGGGTTTCCCAAAAGGAGGCAGGTATAGAAGTGGGACCCACCCGGATGAACCTATCCACCAGAGGTGGCGACACCCTTGACTCAATTGAGGTTCCGGGAAGAACCCCCCACACTCAAGATAACCATACCGTCCGTGCTCAGAGACAGGGATTGGTTTGCATAAGTACCTACAAACCGTTGCCCTCACACTGCGGAAAGTTACGTTGCCCTTGAGTGTCCCCGTGAGCTGCGGGTACTTGCCCGTTTTCACCTCCAGGAAAGGTTACTTCCAAAGTCGAGGATTTGCCCACTGAATGCTGGTCGCACACAACAAGCAGGCCGAAGCCCAAAGAACCACAGACACAGGTAGGTTAGAGATTATGATGTACTTCCATCTCTCCTAGAGCTAAACACCCTTCCATCCTGGATAAAGGAATGTCACTGGGACCCAATGCCCAGTCGTCCATGTCTGTGGCCTACTTGAAAATGCCGATACCAACACGGAGCATTTACCTCCCCTCTGGGGGCTAGGTATTTCACCTCCCAGGACGAGGCTACTTCCAAAGTCGAGGATATGCCTCACAAAATGTCAGTAGGTAGGACTCAGTCACAACCACAAGCTACAGGCAGGTGAAACTTAATCAACACTAGCAGAGCTGAACACCCCACCACCCTGAATGGAGGGAATGTCACTGGGTACTCTCACTTTGGGTAAAACCCAAAGAGGCTGGCTTGTCCAGTCGTCCATAGCTTGTGGTCTACCTGAAGTGCCGGTTCCAACACCGGGCAATTACCTCCCCTCTGGGAGAGCTAGGGTCCGCGTGGTCGCCCAGGCCACGAACCCACGCAAGCGTGGGCCCCCTGCGGTAGGGATCGAAGGACTGCGGTTTTCGGAAAACTTCTAAGAGTGTCTAGTAGAAAATGTAATTCCTGACCATGAAAATTCTTTCAAATCTTTGCTAGTTATAGCCGTTTAAAAAAAAAACGTGTTTTTTTCGTTTTCAGATGTCCACCATTTTGTATTTTTGGGGGGTTATGGTTTGAAAATAGGACTTTTGGATATTTTCTGGATAATTTAAGGTTTCGATCCACACCCTTTCAAATTCCAAGTCTCTAGCACGTGTCTAAACGGTTCAGATGAGCGTACCAAAGTCGGTCACATTCAATGCTATTCTCCATAAGAATATTAGGGGGGGGGGGGGAGAATTCGAAATTTTGGGGCGTTTATTGCATACGTAGTTTCGGCAACTATTATAATGAGCTGATCATTGATAGAAGCGGGCTACTGCAACCTGGCAGAAACCCTGTGAAACACGAGAACTTCCTCTTTCTAACAGTATATTGTTCGATCAAATCGGATTCATATGGTAGCTATGATTTTTCAAAATCGGATGATTCTTTTTTAAACACCCTGCATGAATATCACATCAAAGAAGCTTATCTCGTGCCATTTCATCTTAATTGACTCTTTTTATTTTCTGGAAGCAACTTACGTCCTTACCCTTCTTGACATTCCTTTTGCTTGAAAATTCCATCTTACTAATATTATAAATCTTAGTTTGTGAGTTTGTGTGTGTGTTTGTTGCTCAATCACGCATATACTACTGGACGGATTGGGCTGAAATTTGGCATGATGATAGCTCACATTCCCGATTAACATTAAAGCATATTCTTATTTCAAAAACCCTTTCGGGCTCCGCCCCAGTGGCTCTGTAGTTCCCCATGTTAATCTTATGATTTTTCATATTTAAAAAGAATTAATGAATCTTAACAGCTGTTTCAATTAAACAAGTTGGTTCTGTTCTATGATGTTCAATAGTATAAAAGTTACAAGGATTACCAACAGGGTGCAGTACTATTATTTTTTTTTTAATTTATGACAACAGCTAATTTCCAACCAAAAGGTAAGTGAGCGTAGCGAACGAACTTCAACCTGGAGGCGAGTTAGCGTAGTGAACGAGCTAACCTGAAGGCAAGTGAGCGCAGCGAACGAGCTCCAACCTAAAGGTGAGTGAGCGCAGCGAACGAGCTCCAACCTAAAGGTGAGTGAGCGTAGCGAACGAACTTCAACCAGGACGTGAATGAGCCATGCGAATACTTATGAAGTTAAACGGGGCAAAGCCCGCGGGTACAACTAGTAGAATATATTTTCAGGATTTCTTCAGGAATCGTTTTAATTTTGCGGTGAGTTCTTATCATCAGTTCAAGCAAATACTTTGAAACCCCTTGAGCTTTAATGAGTTTATAGTGAAAACCGCTAAGAAAGAAATGAGGCAAAGTAAATCTTTAAGGAACGAAGGCTTCCTAGCAGACCACTTTCGAGTTACTGCGAATCGCACCGTTACCACATTTTGCTGGTGTGGTATAATGTTTTTCAGCTACCACAGACTTTTTCGGGGTTGAAAACATCCATTAATAAACTTATTAACTTATATGTTTGTAAACATATAATTGCCAGGTTTTGTAACAACGCAATACTGTAAATAAAAATACACAATCCAGTAACATTTACAGCGTCCAGAAAAAAATATTAACTTTCACTTTTTAAAGTTGGGAATTTATAACGGATCCACCTAACGGTTCGAAGACACGCGAAGCGCATTCCCACCTTACGGATTGAGTGTGTTTTTTTTTTGTTTTTTTTTTTGGGGGGGGGGGAATGATTGCTCAAGGTCTGTCCAAAAAGAAGGAGCTACGCGAATTTCACCAAGCGGACCAGGTGAAAAGTTGAGTCAAGACAAACGTCCAGCTGGTTTACATATCCGGTTTGATGTCGGCCATCCGGTTTAAGGTCATAGTCACCCGGTTTATAGTATAAATCATCCAAATGTTCACCGGAGACAGTGATCTTTTCTCGCCGTGGCGATTTTAAACTCGGACAAGCTGGTTACAGCATTTTGTAGCTTTAGGCAAGATTCTTCCTTTACATAACTTATACATTTTGTGCGATTGCTTATAGATATAACTTCTAGTTTTATTTTCCAATACGTACAACTTATAACTACGAACATCTTAGTGTCAGCAAATTTGCTTTTGTGCATTACCGGTAATTTTAATTCACGGGAGCACAAAACAATGGGTATTGGTCACTTTTAGCGAATTTCCCTATAGGGAAGTAGCTATTACCGTAGGTCTCATGGTAAGACCTAAGCCCGGGACCGATTTACTTTTTCATTTTGATGTCCCCAGAGGCCAAAAACACCATTCGTTCAAATTTTTATATATCTATATATATGTGTGTCCATCCGCACGATAACTTGAGTAATTTTTGTCCGATTTTGATAAAATTTGGTTTGAAGGTGTAAGGTGGGATAAACTTGAATGAGTTCGCGAACCAGCATGATCGGATTATGGGAACGGGGGTTTATGGGGGGTTTTATGGGGTAAAAATAGGTTTTTCCCATTTTTGACCCTAAAAACACAAAAGTTTACAATTTCTTTTCAAACCATTTTGTAGAGCTTAAAAAAACAAATAATTTAGTATATTGAAGCGTTATTATGCGCCTAAGTGTTACGGAGAAAATTAAAAAAAATTGTAATTTAAAATTCCCATGTTATTCTTACGGAGAATAAGTCAACTGTTTTAGTTTGCTTGTTTATGAACATATTTTGATCAAATTTGGAAAATAGGTACATTAATTTCTTACTAAATTAATTTATTTACCACAGCACCTTTTAACATTTTATATAAAAAAAATTTTACCCCCCTGTTGCAGCAAACCTAAGTACTCATTAAACTAATTCTGTTTAGATAGGGAATAAATGTGATATTTTTAAGGAGACATTTTAGTTTAAATCCAATCAGGCAAATGGAAATTCGCTAGGTCTGCAGGTTTGCTGCGGCGGGGGTATTATTTTACAGGGTTGAATAATTACTGCTAACGTTTACAACTCAAAATTGTACATTGGTAAACATTTCCTTGACATTATCCATTCATTCATTCAAACTGCCACTAGAAACAAACTCGTTTTTACATCTTTATCGTCAAATATAAATACACAACGTATGATAAATTTGATGAACCGTTGGCGTTTTAGTTGAGAATGGGATTCGTTAACGTTCGATATTACGTTAAGTTTTAAGTAAAATTACAACAAATACATTGAAAAACTGCACATGTTGCATTATTTGTATTCAACCAACATAAAATATGTACACAAGTTGTGGCATGTTGTCTCAAAGTGAAGATGGGAATGATGGTGCTCTACGTTGTGGTTATATAGTCAATGGCTCTACTCTGTGGCTAGTCATGCTGATAAGTTTAGTGATGTAGTTTTATTGTTATAACCAGTGAGTGTTGAATTCAAGAGGTTCATGCAGAAATATTATTTTTGTGTGGTGAAGGGTCCTTCAACAACTCCCAAGTAATTGAACATATTTTTGATTACTTGAACCATTTCAGTATAAATTATTGAAAGAAAGTAAAGTTTGGAGTAGTCTGAGGCCAAATATAAACTAGGTCTTCAAAAACTATAAACAGTTTGCGCTGATTCCTCTATGAATTGTTTACTATCTGGAGTTGAGTCCAGTAATTGATCCAGTCAAACGTAGCCCTATTACAAATAATTACGAGTATTTTGTGTACTCGTTTTGTAAACAAGAAGTAATGGCAATAATTTAGTCATGTTTGCTTGTAGTCATTGAGGGGTATTTTCAAATTTATTTTGGGTTACTGGTACCTATTCATTTTTATGGACATACCTTGTTTTTTATACAAGACAGACAGTTTTTTCTGTTTTTTGTTTGTTTTTTTTTTGACAGACTAGCCTTTTATGCATGGTTATAGCAGGTTAAGAGGATCTGGTAGTTTTAGATATAATTCTAGTATTTTGTTGTAACTCACTACTAATTAATCTTAAACTATAGATGATTCAGATATATTCATAAGCAAACACAAGTCATCATCTAATTGTTTCCTTATGTGGTGAACATCCTCAACATTTCCACTTCGACACCTCGATAAAAATACATTAAATCTATATCTTTTGAACACATCACTAGGACGTATTAATAACACCCCTACTAATCTATACATAATTCTCTTTTCATAGTCAGATTTTCTGATTAAGGACAGAAAACAAGCAATTGCGCAATAACGAATTCCCGTGAGATTTTTCCTGCGACGGATACAAACTAATTTTCTACGATTACAACCAAGTTTGAAATCGAAATCGTTTACGTCAAATCGGGGTGATTGTGCCCAAGTCGATCCTAATGACTCGGAGTCAACAACGGTGTGCATTCTTCCACAGCTAATCTTTCTCTCGGCCCCTCCCCCTCTCGATTCTCTCTTTCTCTCACTCGGTTCTGCACCTCTCTTCTCTCTCCCCAACTCAGATACTCAGATCAGTGAGCTCTGACCCAGCGTTATGGAACTGTGTTCGTCAGTAGTGTGCGGTCTAGTGTTGGTCTCAGCGTTTCAAATATTTCTCGTGTCGGTTTCTCATATGTTAATCGATTTCGAGCAAATATTCCACTGAATAGTGACATATTTTCAGTGCAAAAAACTGTACGGTAGTTGATTTTTATCTAGTGATACACATATTTTCAGAGTTTAAAACCACTGTTTCGTAAATTTACAAGCAAGAATTGGTTAATCGTTTCAAACATTTTTTCTGGGAATATGTGAGAGGCCTATCGACAGACTGGATCACCAATAGTTTGACCTAAAGAAACTATTAGGACGGTCTAAAGATTTTAGTTAATTTGAAGAAACAATTTAAACACAATCGTGAGGACTTTAATAATTTAAACATAAACTTCGTGTGGTTACTTCTTCACCGTGTGACTTGCTCTCTACTGCATCATCAAGTGATAAGACAAGTGACAGAAGTGATAAGATGGAGGTGGGAAGTCTTGTCATCTCTCTTATCACAGGGTTGGCGGCCTTATCAACTCTTCAGATCTTCCTTGTGGTCGTTGCTCCCTTCGTCCTGGACATTGATATAAGGGCGGTCTACTGTGATTACTACACTTTTGACGACCAGTGGAGGTACAATTATGCAAACTACTAGAGGTTAAGAGAAAATATGTTATTTCGTGTCACCAACTTTATTTCTCTTATTTAAGTATTTCAGCGGTTGTTTTTCTTTTCGAACAAACCAATTTATTGAGCTTTATGGTATGTTTTAGTCTTAAATTATTTTAATTCTGTTTTGTTACAGCAGTACAGTAATTGACGAGTCATAAAAGATGTAGTTTGTAATTTATTTTTGGCTTAGTTAAACAGATGGAATGTTGGACATAAGAAGGTAAATCTGTAATTTATACACCAGCGCACTTTCATTTTATTGTGGATCAGTTTTAACTTGTTCATTTTTATTACTAGTATAAAACTGGCAACAACAAACATGGGAAAATGATGACTAGTTCTATCCATGGCATCACTTATATTTTAGGAAGATTTTTGGTGATAACTAATCTAATTTACATAGAAAGAAAATCATTTGAATGCGTGTCAATTTAAATAATTTGGGGTGAATCGAAATAGACTTTTAGTTACAAAATTTTAAATACAATTTAGCCTAATACTTTTTTTTATTAATTGACAATATTTTCATCATACTGTTTTTAATCTATTAATTTTTCCACAAATACTACATACAAGCTACAAATAATGTTTATGTATGATTTTATGTATTAAAGGTTTGAATACAAACTAACGTTTCAAACATTGTCATCTTTAAATATAAGGATTTTAACAAACTTTCTTTTTAAAAACTTTTACTTCATTCATAGCATCGAAACAGTAGTTTACAAAACGCGTGAAGACTTTTTACTTGAGTTGGGTAACTACTTTCTTTACCTGCTACCGTCTTTTTTTATTACTAAGAATCACTACTAGTAACTTCTAAGAGAGGTCATGTTTTCGTTTATAACAATTTCATTTCCACTTAACAGCTGATGAGTTGACGTTACAAGCATTACAATTTTTTTCTCGTATCTACGCCATTGGCATTTTTGTATTGAGGTCAAACACTTTTAAGGGAAAGCGGTCCAAACCTATAATTTGACTTCTTGTCTCTCAATCCTTGAACCTCAATGGTCCGTTGCAGTGCTAAAAAGTAAAATCAAAACAATGTCGTAAAGTAAGTAAACAATGCGGTAAAGTGAATCCCTTCATTTTCTAAGAACTGAATTGTAATAGTAGGTAGTTTACGCAACGATTGCGTTTAGTTAATCTTTACGACACGAGTAGAAAATTTAAGGCACGAGCCTTGGCGAGTGCCTTAAAAACTTCTACGATTGTCGTAAAGACTATTAACGCGAGTTGCGTACACTACTTTACCTACGACCGTTTTTTAATTACTAAAAATCTGTTTTTTTATTACTAACAATCACTACTCATAACTTCCTAGAGAGGTTATGTTTTCGTTTATTGTCATTGTCACTGAAAGTGATGCAACGACTTATTGTATAATCAGCTGATTTCATGTAATTACGTGTTTGTAAAACTTTGTTAAATAATACGTTACTTTTTCAGACAATAGGTTCTGCTAGCAGCATTCTTACCATAAATACTGTATCAGGTACAATTAGGGAAATATTGCATATATTTTTGGACAACTGAATAATATAGTGAAACAGTTAATTTACAGTTAGATCTCAGCATCGAAAATGTGGTCCACAACGAGTTGGGTGAAAAAGTGGTTAAGAGGTTTTCAAAATAAACCAGAAGAACATTTTCATTTATCAATTTAACCTTATTTTGTTTCGTCCATTTAATGAATTGCTGGTATGTAATTGCATATGGTACCTTTGTTTTGATTTTGGTGGTAAAAGATTAGCACAAACAGTTTGTGCTCTCAGATCAGCTGATCAGCTGATTAGTTGACGTTCGAAGCATTACAATTGTACTTCTTTTCTCTCAATCCTTGAACCTCATTGGTCCGTTACCCGTGTTGATATGAGAAAAACTATGCTGATATGAAATGAAACTATGCTGATATGAAAGTAAACAGCTGTTAAGTGAAACTTTACAATTCTAAGAACTGAACTGAAATGGCTACTTTAAAAAAAAACGGTCGTAGGTATAAAGGCTATTTAAAAAATATGTCATTAGTACATAGTACAATGTATGTAAAGTAATTGTATAGCTTGTAAAAAGGTGAATATGTATATTATAATACCTAACTTAACTTATTTAGACATACTGTCACGAAATTGGTAGGAAATTTCAATGCATGAAAATAAGTGTGTATGATAATTTTAACATTGAGAAAGGGAAGATAAAAAAATGCACGCTAATCGTTAATTTGAGTTAATTTTATCTGGACCCAGTTCTGGACTCGGTACTAAAATTTCACTTGCGTCAAATTATCCAATAATAACAGTGTCGTACGATTGACTATACACCGTATAATAAAAGGTCCTTCAATGAAGGATACAGAATCAATTATTTTTAACAGTTTGTAATACTGTACTTACAGCAGGTAATTAAATATTTTGTCTGAGTAATTTGGATTGAAAGTTCGAGTATATGGGTTGTAACAGATAAATGTAGACTACTAGATCTGTAAAAAAATTAGTTGTTGTATAGCCATTGAATATTTTCAGGAAGTAATATCATTAAAGTTTGGTTAAGTTTGATTAAACTGCTATACTTAAGGTTTTTTTGTACTTATGTTCATGTTTAATCTTGTCTACCTATTAATTTTGCTAAATACTAGGCCTATAGCTAATTGTGATACTAGTTCTAGCTGTGTAAATATGTAAACAACCTATTACAACTATGTAACAGTTCAACTTGGTTTTATTTTCCTTAATGGCCATTAAATGTAAGTGAAAGGCTGCAATACTTGTCAACAAAAACAGTTATCACCTAGGGTAGTAATTATAAGCGCTAAAATTGAAACTGAGACTTAAAACAACATGAAACAAACACAACAATTATTCCAGTTGAAAATTAATAATGGAAATTTCCTGAGCCATAAGCAAGCAAGAGCAGAGTTTTGTTTTTAAATCACAAGGAACTGGTGCCCAAAAAACTACTTTAGTTTAAATGTAGGTTTACATTTATTTTCCAGGAGCCAATAGGGACGGTAGGGGGCAAAAGCCCCTCGCCCCCTTGGAACCACCACTGCATAGATGTAAGTTTCAATTGTATTTTAAATGTAAAAAAATTCTTTAGGCTATATGGCTCTTAACACAATTGACAACTTTTTATATGATTTGTGAGGAACTTTCAAATTCTCATCTTTGTTACTTATGTAGGCTATTACTTTCTTATGGTCGAACTGCAATCTGTTGGCAGTAGGTATAATGGGCATACATATGAACAATTGGTTTGTCACATTTTTGACCCTCAAAAAAATTTTCCCAATTCCTCTCTAAATCATTATGAAGAAATTTAAAAAACCAATAATTTAGTATATTGAAGTTTTTTTGAACAATTTGTTGATTACGGATAAAATTCAAAAAATTACAAATTTAAAGTTGTAATATTACTCTTATGGTGAATGAATGAACTGCTGTAGTTTGCTTATTTATGGATACTAGAGGTCGTCCAGTGGTCGAAAACTCTACCAAAAAATGTAATGTAGGCCTTACAGACTTCTCATCTATTTTCACCCCACGCTGTAAATAGAACATGTGATTGGCATTTCTTTAATTTGTTTTGATTTTCTGTTTATATTTCGTCACAAGCATGATATGTTATATTATGACAACCCATAAGGCCCATGTAAATTTTGTATTATTTTAAATTCATTTTTTGTGCTTATTTTAGAGCATATTTTTATTTATAAAGGGATTCTGCACATCTACAGGCAAATATCTTTCTAGCAGCATGTGTAGATTTTCCTTGCGATTCACACCAGCTGAGAAAATTTTTTTTAAAGAAACATGCTTGCCTATTAATATATAGATATTTTTATCAAACTTGAAAAATTTATTAATTTTATTTTAAGCTAATGATATGTTGCTAAAAACACACTTTATTGCCCTCCCCGTAGCAGCAAACCTAGGTACTCTTAAAACTAATTTAATTGAAAATCAAATCAGGCAAATACAAATGCAGGTTTGCTGCACGTATTGATAGCCCAATGATTAAGCTGGTTCATAGTTAGTTTAAAAGGAATAAAGGATAACCCTTCTTATCCCAAGGTAAGTAAAATAACAATTGTAGTTTGCTGTTATTTCAATATAGTTGACGATTACATTGTTAATTACAAGTTTCATGTTCAATTTTATGACTTACTTGTTTTATGATTTAATAACTTTAATATTTTGTTATTCAAATTGATGAAATGTTTGATAAATAATTTTATTACTTGATTTCATTTATTACTAAACCTATCCTAGACCAAAACATAAGATTGTAATTTTGTTTCAGGAAAAGAGTTTTTAAGTTAAAACTATTTTTATATGAAATTAAGGTACTTAATGATTAATTTGGCAACAGGGCAAAGTCAAATTTGATTTTTTAAATACAGCTTCAACAATCCAAACAAAGTTGTGTTCTTAAAAAAAATCCTGAAATTTAAATAATATGAATTTCAACTATTATAATTCACCTACTCAAGTCCAAAAAAAAGTTATCACTAACAATAACAACTAAAATCGACCTAAGTAAAATTTGTTTATATTACTACTCGTTTATTATGTGTCCAAACTCAGCCAAGAAGCTAAGTAAAGCTTGGTTATGTACTTTAATACAATTGAAATGGCGAACATACAAAGGTAGATTTTTAAGCCAATGATTAGAGATTTGTGTAGGATGAGTAGTGTGATCTTGTAGTCTTGTAACTGACATGTTCTGTAGTCTATTGAATGATAAAATATTTGAAAACAAAGAAAAGCCATTAACAACTAATTATAATGACGCAAGTCTAAGGTATTATGGTAGAAAACTTAGGATATAGCAATGATATAAGCCGCTAATGAGAACAGATAGGTGAGATTTACTTTTGTTTTTCACCCTTTCCACAGGTTATCAACGCTCTAAAGACTTCTTATCAGAAGCATAACAGCATTAATGTATAGTATTAGCTGTGTTATGTGACGTTAACTATGGATTTTATTGTTGTAAATTACAATTTTTTCTATTAGACCCCTAAAGTAAAGACTTTTAGGGCAAAAACCAAAATAGGGCAAAATTTTACCTTACTTGATCCTGATTGAATCAGCATTTTAACACATAACTCTAATAATATACTCCATTCCCAAAACTTAGGCGCTTTTAGGGGGAAAAATCTATCCCTTCTAATTGAACCTACCTTTAAAAATAATAGCTAAAGTAATAAGCAGGGGTTTGCCAAAATTTAAATTAGCTGCGCCATATAAACCAAGTAAAAAAGTAGTGGGGGAACTTCCCCTAAAACTGCCTCAATTTTGGGAACAGAGTATAAACACACATATGTAAATTTGAACCAATCTTTGTCATCACAGCTGCTAATTTTTGAGCTTCTGATAGTCGAACAATTCAGTATTCACTAGTTTTTCTATATGTTTACTACGTCAGAAGTCTGGAAGTATCCTAGAAGTGAAATTCCTAGGTGCAAATACTAGTAGTTAGCAAACTGCTGTTTTTATTTTTTCTGTCAACAAGATGCTTCAGATAAAAGTATTCCTAGCTTAATTTAATCATGTGAAAAGCCAATAGTTTTTTTTTTATTGTTCTAGCCTGTGTCAAATCATTAGACTCTTAAGCTGGGTTTTCCTAGGCGCGGAATTGGAGCGCGGAGAGAGGAATGTGGAGAGCGGACTCCTCTTGTCTTAGTTAATTTAATGTTACTGTTTTCCTAGAAGCGGAGCGGAACGCCATGTTAATCGCTTTTCCGCACTCCGCGTCTATGAAAACACGGCTTTATACTCAGATCACAAAATTTAGGCCGTTTAAGAGAAGAAAACCCATCCCCTACATTTAAACCTAACATTAAAACAATAGCTCAAAATATAAACAAGCATTTATTAAGCATGTAAATCAGCAGCAAAATACATTAAACAAAATTGGGGGGAGAACTTTGCCTCAAATCGCCTAAATCTTGTAAACAAACTATAATAGATTGTCTTAAATAAATAAACAGCGGGACGTGATAAACCCTCTAATGCACCACAGTTGACTCCATTCTCCGGACACCTTTTAACCAGACATCAGTTTAACCACACTACACCCGGGAGAAGTGCCATCTCTTTAACCGGACAATTTTTATCAGGATATTGGTTTAAAAGTAGACTGGAAGTGGGCGGTGCTGTAAGACTGTTCTCGTGAGAAAGATTTAATACCAGTGATCACGTGCCTAGTTTACTATTTTCACATAATAATCAAAAAATGGCTGATATAGTGTGCACTAGACGTTCCTAATTTAACAAGTTTTAGGGAACGTCGGTTAAAAAGCAAAAACCATTATTCAGACTGGTTGGTCTTGGTCCCGAGGAGTCCGGATAAGGGGAAGTCTACTGTTCCCCATCTCACACTACAGGTATTTTGTTTCATTTGTCTCGTTCTCTCTTTTATGATATTGTAATGACATTTCATAAAAACTTTACCCGCTTCCCCATCTAAATAGGTAGTAGTAATCCCTGTACAGTAGTACCGTGGGCCATCTGAAAATAGTCTAATATAAATTTTATCAGTCAATAGAGGTTGTTACTAAAATTGAATTTAATAAGAATTTAGCAAAATTGCATAAATTTTGACTTTATTCATCAGATTATTTGTGTACAGTCTACCTAGTATCTAAGCCTCCATGTACCTACTCGGAAATGTATGCTACAACTGGAGAATATGTTTTTAATTTTGATTTTAATTTTGACTAAAATAATGAGCAGTTATGCATTGTTAAAATTTGTGGTTACAAATTGTTAACGGAAAACCAGATTGTATGTATATTTTTTGTCCACCTGTAAAAAAATAGCTATTTATTATATCAGCAGATATCAAAAAGACTGTCATTTTCACCCAAGCTTTAGTTCAGAGCAAAGAAAAACCGATCAGCTGATTTTACTTGCTCTAAATTTACTTTCCCTGCTCTCAATTAGTTCCATATTTGTCCACTAACCATGCTACTTTTTATTAAAATTTATTGCTATAATTTAAATCAATTGTTTTTACTGTTCAAGAATAAAAATGTAAACAGAAATAGACATAATATAGTTTTGCTATGTTTTTAGTTTGTAGTGTGCGTATATTGTACCTTTATAAAGAGCTTAAAAAACAAATAATTTAGTATATCAAAGTGTTTTTGTACGTTAATTGGTTACGGAGAAAATTTCAAAATTGTTTATTTAAAATTCCCATGTTATTCTTATAGAGAATATTGTCAATTGTTGTAGTTGGCTTGTTTATGGATATATTTAGATTTTGATCAAACATGGCAGACTTATTTATTTTATACTAAACTTAAACTATTGATATTTTAATAAAAACACACATTATTAGTTTCCCTGTAGCAGCAAACCTAGGTACTTGTTAAAGCTTAAATGTTAATGTAATAGATTAATGGAAAATCTATTCAGGCAAATGGAAATTCGCTTAGTCGGCAGATTTGCTGTGGCGGGGGTATTTATATTAAAATGACTGAGGCCTAAAATTTTAAGTCAACGTTTTTGCATTTTGATAAAAAGAATCTTTCATAACTTGTACCAAAAGTAATTTTCTGGTATTAAGTAATGAAGTATATTACTACACCATTTTCTCTCAAACTACTCCCTCTAATCAGAGTCAAGTTCAAATCTACCGAAGGTAATGAAAAAAACACATAAATGAAACTCATATAAATATATGTATAAAATAAACATTGAACATACAACTATATTTTATAATAAAAAAGAGAATTGGAATGAATATATACAAATATATATATATATAAGGAACATTGTGATGTGTATATAAAAGCGCAGAATATCAAAAGCCGGCTCTCTCCAGTTTTTGCAATTGATGACTAAGCTTTTCTTCTTTGGTTTTGCGGCAATAGCTTAGCTGAAACAATAAGAGTAAATCAGGATTATCAATATAAAAACCAAATTATTCATACTTATGGACTATTTATTTTTACATATAAAATCTAATAAATATCCTTTAGGCACTACAAAACCATAAATTCTATTGTTGAAAAACTTAAACTATTTTAAATATGCCTCAAAAGTGTTTATCTTATTCCAGATCTTAAAATTCCTTAGCTTCCTCCCATACTTTCAACAGTTACGTTCAAAATATCAATTTTGGTTTTAATGTTAACATTGACAAAATTACAATGTTTAGACATTTTGTTTTGACAATCCATTTGTCATCCATTTGAAAGACATACATTTTGACTTTGGCCAGCCTTTTCTAATATGCAAAAAAAATAACAATAATAATAATAATAAAAAGGGCGTAATGGCCAAGATGAGACAAAAGTCACAACACTGCGGTCCTGGCCTACAGAAACAGCTGTAGCAATAACTCATATGGAGTGGCTACCCCATGTTTATGTTTTTTTACACATCGTTTTGTTATTGTACTGATATTACCATTGCAATAAGCCAGCAGCGAATGATGTTGCCAGTGGCCACATAGTTCGCCCCACCATGTTTTAGAGGAGGCCTATCAGGTAAGTCAGCACCCGCTCAACAAATACAGGTAAGTTAATTGGTCCGTTAAAGCGTGTGTTAAGCGTTAGGTCACCTAACCATCTTAATCTTATATTTTTTTATTTTGTAACTTTAATTTTATAAATCCATAATTTAGTCATACTATGACAACACTCCTGTCTTTGTACTTGGTACTATTTAAGATGATATGAGTGATTAAATAATTTGCCTACCAATAAATAGACAGTAATAATATTGGCTAACAGATGATCTAGAAAAAGTTTATTCTCAGAATCAGTCATAAGTTAGCTATTGGCCCTAAAAGAGCGGCATCATTGGCTATTGGATACTGAAGTAAACATCTCATCAAAATTAGACCGGCTGTAGCAAATATGTTTTCAAAATACAACATAGTTGAATGACTAAACTGAAACTCCCAGCGTGAGCTACAATCATAATTATGTATATAAACATATTAATTCCTCGCCAATCAATTTTCAACCCAAACGATTTGGACAAGTCAGACAGGCAATCTTCCTCTTAATAGGAGTTGTTGTTAACCCTTCATGGAGGTATTTGATTCTAAAACAAGATCAGTGACACAAGGAGTTTTTTTTTCCTTTTATTGAAACATTAGACAAACAATGTGATTTTATAGATGTATACATTTTATATACATTTTGGATACAAGAAAGTATCCAAAATGTATATTCAATCAAATTGTACATGAAATCAATAAAACCTAACTCTAGGCTACATATTTATAAAAACTAGTGGTCGTCCAGTGGCCGAAAACTCAACCAAAAATATGTACCCTAATGTTACAGGCTTCTCTATTTTCACCCCACGCACGCAGTAAAAAAAAACATTGATTGTTATTTCTCCCATTTGTTTTGATTTTCTGTTTAAATTTTGTTGTTATTTCGTCAACAGAATGGTAACCCATAAGGCCCATGTTAATTTTTAAATTTCTAATTCATATTTTGTGCTTATTTTAATTTATAAAGGGATTCTGCCCATCTACAGTAAATATATTTATAACAGTATGCGCAGATTTTTCCTGCGATGCACTTTAGCTGAGAAAAAAGGTTTTAAAGAAACATGTTTGCCTATTAATATATGGATATATAGCAAACAAAAACAACACCTTAGGTGACACACAAAACTACACTCTGGGAACCCAACATGCGAGCGGTGAAACACGGAGCCGGGCTCCTAGCGACATAATTCTTTGGGCTTTAACTGATTAAATAGGGGTTGTGTGAGAGCAAAGTAATGTTCAATGAGTTCATAGAAAGAGACGCGTTAGGTACTGTTACTCTATAATACAAATGTGCCAGGAGGAAAACTTCGTGGTGTCACCTATGAAGGGTTAACATTGTTACCAGATTTTCACTCAAGTGGGAAGAAGCAACTCACAGGAATTAAAAAGTGAACAGGTCCCAGATCAGTCATGTGACTCTCTGGGGTTTGAATCAATCTCTTGCAATAAGGTTTTAAAGAATCAATGCCTATTAATATATAAAAGATAGTATATAGAAGACCTAGGCTACTCGTGCAATATGCCAAATATGTCAAATTTCAAGTCATCCGGATGGTGGAGGATATAGAGGAGTGGAGGAAGCAAATCTACGAGGAAAAAAATCGACTGATATTGGTGACGCCCCATCAGTAACGGTAAGTAAAGTCATAGAAACCACCTTTACACCAAAAACGTATTCAACTCACCATTCTTTTTTCAATGTAAGCAGGTAGAAAGCTGTCCAGGTCAACATCCCCGTTGAGAAACTTCTCTGCGATCAGTTCGCTCTCTTCATCACTTCTTACAGCAGCTCGCTTGACTTCTTGCTGAAAATGCAAATACTATAACATTTTGGTGTAAGAGTCATAGGAATAAATAAACATAAACAGCTGACCTTGTCAGTTACTAAACTATTATGTCATCCGTTCAACGCACAAATTCAGTCATCTTTTGAAATATACAACTTGGTGGGTTGCAGGGTCGCCACCTTTAATTGGGACAGCCTACCCTCCCCCCAAAATTAATACCGGCATAAACACAGACTAAAGGGACCGAAGTAGGCACTGTCCTGAACAATCAGGATTGGTAATAACCCTGGAGGTTGTATAATTTGAATCTTATCTATTATACGACGTACCACTCACCCTAATGCTCTGAGGACTGTACTTGTCAGCCAGTCGCTGGTACTCCTGGTTCAGTGCTTCATGTCGTCCCTTCAACTGAGAGGCAGAATCCCACAGTTCGCTGACCCCCGACCTTAACTGCTGCAGTCGCCCTTCCTTGGACAATGTCTCCGCTACAAACACAGATACAGCTTCAGTAGAGGTCTCAATATCGTATCCCAACCACACAAAAAATTACGTGTAAAAAATCAATACATTAATGAGATTTCCCGTTATCAAACCTATTCAAGCCTTTAATTTTGTTTCTATTAAAATCACTATGATCGCTCTTCTCTGTTTTTACCAAAACTATTAAGTATAAATTAAGTCGATATTCGTCCATTCGGCCCCAGTTTTCTGTTGGCACTCTGCAGACAAGAGGCAGATAGGTAGTGGTGGTCTTCAAATGTCTAGAGTGGGAAGACTTACCAAGGTTGCAGAGAGATACGGGTCACTTACCAATGTATAGGTTGTTTGGATAAAGTAGAGTGGGAACTGGGAACACAGTTACCACCCCCTACACTACAGCAGATAAAAGTTGAATCGAAACTATGTGATGTGCAGTGCCCAGAAAGTACAGTCAAGTTATGGTGTAAGAGCTTGTGATAGGCTTGAATTTTATGAAGTAGCATCTTCAAAACCAAACCCTCATTGGGGATAGTTTAATAACTAATACTTGTTGTCAAGGTTGACTTCTTATACAAGGTTTGAATTAACATTTGATTAGGGGGTGGAATAAATTCATGGGTATTTGAAAATGACACTTTTGTTATCAGGGGTGGCTTTATCGAGGGGGTGTTATTGAGCTTTCACTGTAGTATTTTAAAGGCACTAATAATTAGTAGACATTATGGGAAGGTTTTCTTTCTGATTTGCCTTATGGAGTCCAGGTTTGTCATTTTCTACACCTGAAAAGTCTATGACAGTTTTCCTATATACTTTAGCTCTGGAAAAAACACTAACTTCTTGATAAGCACTTTAACAGTTATCACACATAAGAGATCAATAGTATGAGACATACTTGCAACTTCTTCATTCCTAGTGATCCATTCCTCCATGGTCCTGTCTATCTCCTTCATGACAGGCAGACTGTCGACAAACTCATCCAGACAATCTGCACTGGAGTTTAACTGCTCCAACTCGGCAACAGACAGCGAGTTCAGCTCAGGGAACGCCACTGACTGAAACCAACTTGGTTTACTGGACATCAGATAAATCAAGTTCCTTAACCTTTGTTGGCCAAATAAACCTGATTTCTCTGAGTGAAAGGCAGAATAGAGCTAAGATTAACTAAAAATATATAACACCAAATTCAGTAATAGACTAAAAGTCGCACTTAAACATTATTCTTATAACATTACTCTTAAAGCGCATAAACCTAGTAAACTAAATTTCATAAAAATTTGTTTTGAATGCAAATAGAACCGTGCAGCCGTCTATATTCGTTTTTGGGCATACATTGTTTCTAGCGCCTACCTAACACGCCTTTCTTTGTGGTTTAGACAACTAACTTAACTTCATGTAGTTTTCATTCTCTAAAACACCACTTTAATTTTATAATTTTTCTTCTTCAAATTTTTAGAAGGAAATTAGCAATACTTGGAACTAAAAATTAAGCCTGGCAAAGAATTGGCTATTATAGATGGTCCATATTGATGGGATTTCTACTTCAGTATCTAGTTAAAGGCAGGACGTAAGATACCATATGTTTTGCAGGATTCTGCAACATAGATGGTCTGTAGTTGGAGAAGCCAGGAACGCCCGGAGGTGTCCCAGAGTAGCCATAGTTGTTAGGGGACATGGGGCCACTGATGTCCACTGAAATAAAGAAACAGTAGTTTTTCAGAAGGCAAGTCATACATTTATGAGAGTGGGGGTGAATACCTCTAGGGAATACACAGATCACAACGTTCATAGCTACTGCTTCGAGTAGTGGAGATTTTCACCCTACTATTAAAAGCTGAATTGTATAGTGGATAAACTTTTTATAAGTTTAAGGTATCCTTTTAAGATGAAGGTATGAGTGCTCAAGTATATTTGTGTTTTGACAGTCATCAATTCTTTTCATTATGGTGTGGGTAGCCTCCGGATTGCGAATAATAACTATGATAGTGGTTTAAATACCTTATTCATGCAATCCAATTGTTGTCTCCACAACTAGTTTCAACCTGCTAGGAGGTCATCATCAGGTGAGTACAAGGATGAATTACTTCATATGAAGGTCGTCAGTAACAGTTTTTTTTACATTTACACAAACACACGACGAATAATAAACACATAGTGCGCACACATATACGGCCGATAAAAACATTGAACTTGACAAGCGGACCCGTGTTGAGAATGCGGAAGTTGCGTCTAGACTGTAGGGTAAACAGCTGGTCAAGCATCACGCGCATTTTCTTATCGCTCGTCGGTTCCATTCCCATTGTCTCTGCCCTCCCCTTCCCTCTCCAGTATTTCTATTGCAGTGTTGTATATGATGTTTGAATTAAAATAAAGTTGGTCGTTTAAAACGTTATCCATGTCTGATTTGACGGCTCTATAAATCTCGAATTCTTCCAGGGTGTTAATTTTAAACTTGTCCTGTGACGTATGTAAAATTTCCATGTTTTCATTAATGCTGTTGTAATTATGCTGATGAGAAACTAAATGTTCGGCAAAGGTTGAAGTTTGTTTTGAGGTAGTCTTCTTTGGTATGTGCTCCTTAAAGCGTTTGGAGCTATCCCTTCTAAATGCTTATTTATGCCATATTCACAATAATATTAAGTTTACACTAGAAGAGGAGAAAAATAATTCCATTAATTTTCTGGACCTTACCATATCAAAACATAGTGACAGCTTAAAGTTTAAAATCTACCGAAAACCCACCTGCTCCGATCAAACAATACATTCAGATTCACACCATCCATTTTCACAGAAATTAGCCGCATACCACTGTTTTGTAAATAGATTGTTATCAATTCCAATGAGCACGGACGATTACAACGAAGAGATAAACATCATTAAACACATCGCCGTCTCCAATGGATACACGACCACGTTAATAGATAAATTAATTTTGAAACACCAAAACAAAACAGAAAGAGTGAACCAAAGGAACATTGGTCGTGTATCCATTGGAGACGGCGATGTGTTTAATGATGTTTATCTCTTCGTTGTAATCGTCCGTGCTCATTGGAATTGATAACAATCTATTTACAAAACAGTGGTATGCGGCTAATTTCTGTGAAAATGGATGGTGTGAATCTGAATGTATTGTTTGATCGGAGCAGGTGGGTTTTCGGTAGATTTTAAACTTTAAGCTGTCACTATGTTTTGATATGGTAAGGTCCAGAAAATTAATGGAATTATTTTTCTCCTCTTCTAGTGTAAACTTAATATTATTGTGAATATGGCATAAATAAGCATTTAGAAGGGATAGCTCCAAACGCTTTAAGGAGCACATACCAAAGAAGACTACCTCAAAACAAACTTCAACCTTTGCCGAACATTTAGTTTCTCATCAGCATAATTACAACAGCATTAATGAAAACATGGAAATTTTACATACGTCACAGGACAAGTTTAAAATTAACACCCTGGAAGAATTCGAGATTTATAGAGCCGTCAAATCAGACATGGATAACGTTTTAAACGACCAACTTTATTTTAATTCAAACATCATATACAACACTGCAATAGAAATACTGGAGAGGGAAGGGGAGGGCAGAGACAATGGGAATGGAACCGACGAGCGATAAGAAAATGCGCGTGATGCTTGACCAGCTGTTTACCCTACAGTCTAGACGCAACTTCCGCATTCTCAACACGGGTCCGCTTGTCAAGTTCGATGTTTTTATCGGCCTTAACACGTTGACTAAACGCCGACTTTCATCGGCGTGACTAGCGCTTCCAGGTGGCGCGTGTCGACCATCTGAAATATAAGCCATTGCCGGGGAACATTATAATTGTTGCCAGCCTGTAGCTTAGAATGTGAGCTTAGTTTTGGTGTAGGTTGGTGCTAAGATTTCCCGTAAAATCCTGTCTGGCAATGCTTTTGACCCGGTTTTGGAGATTTTCTCTCTCCGACCCACATTACAAAGACACTGGCTACAGATCCAGGCAGTGCTGCTACCTTTGGGTGTTTCAGTGAACGTCCCCTCCCAGGGTAAGGCAGCACAATCACCGCTGCTCTTTTGCGATCCGCCATTTTGAAATATTTGAATGCCAATTTCGTTCGCTGATTCGATTTGCGCGCCAGGGCTTATCCTGCCATTGACGAGCGCCCGTTTATAGGTTGTCAGCACTCAACATGATAAGGAAATAGACTAAACGCCAGTCTTCTGGTAAAGTTCTACTATTGAACATCAACATTTTGTTACATAAGATAGCACCATTAATTGATATATCAAAGATAATTTGTTATCTGGCTGGATCCAGAATGGTCTGACTCAGATAGAAACAGCATTCTTCAGCTTAGGAGGCTAGCGCTAAAACCAATCATTATGGTGATCATAAGTTCATAAGGACTACCAAGAAATTTTGTAATCTTACTTAAAGAATTTTTCATGAGTATTTTATCTACAAAATTGTTTTTTTTCTGTAACTTCCTAATAGTTTAAGTATATCGACTATTGAACGGGAGAGATACTATAGTTTACATTTTTTTACTTTAAAGCCTCTTGAACCTTGTATAATGCCTTTATGTGGTACTGCAAGGCTTATGCATGTAACATATGAAACTAAACAAGGAGTGAGCCAGTACAACAATAAACAATTGTACTATTCTAAGTTGCGGAACCTAAATACGTACCCATTACATGGCTTCTTCTCATTCTGCCTGGGTTTCAGAGTCCTTTGAGCTACTGACTAGGCCACTTACTAACTAGATAGCACACTTATATCGGCATAACTAAGGCTTCCCAGGTTCTACCTATGAAGCTTACATTCTCCAAGACTGTAACTGAACTTACCCCTCTGAGTGCAGGGGGGAGAGACAGTCCCCCCCAGTAGAGGAGGGGGTCGCAGTTCTAACTCTCTCACAATCGCTTGAACGACTCGGCCCAGGTCTGAGTGGACGGTGAACTAGGAGAAATCATGTTTGTTATTAATTAGCTTAGGTTTTAAGTTTTAATCACTGAAAATCAATAGCAACTAAAACTGAACGGGCAAGAAGGGGAACACGTCTAGTTGTATCTCTTCAACCAAGAGACAACTAGACCCGGACAAAAAAGGATACAGCTTGATGGTGACACACCCGTTAAGTTTTATCATCCAACCTGTATGACAGGGTCTACAAAATTTGGTGAATAAAATCAAAGTTTTTTGAGAATACGGTTTACAAATTTCCTTAGACACATATTACACAGGTACATGGGGAGCGAGCTGGTCTAGTGGTCATAGCGCAGGACTTTGGTCCCTGAGGTCCTAGGTTTAAATCCTTCCAAATCACTAATGGATTTTTTTCAAGGTGATGTTGCGGCAACCCCTAGGTCTAGCCTGAAGTAATATGAAAAACAATTCCGGGCTCGTCTAGGAGAATCAAGCGTCCTAGGACAAAAAAAATATGACAGCTTCAAATTAGTTTTACAAAATATGACTAATAATTACGGTACAGTTTACCTCGTCAACTAATCCAAATCAGGGTGTGATTATCCATGACCATTAACCATTGATTTCCAAGACTCCGTCCATACCTTTGATTTCCGTCAAAGTAAAGTTTTAGAGTTTGATTTCCATAATTTTACTCAAAAATTATAATATAACATACACACGCGAATTATACTGCCTAAACAAGCTATTTCACAGAAAATACTGATATGTTCTAACATAAAACAATGACAACTAGAGAAGTCCCCTCAAATCCATCCATCATTGGGGATTTCCATAACTATCCCTGACTTTCCAGAATGTGGATACCCTGCAAAATTTTTGTTGATGTCAGGTTAATAACCTACCTAGACCTATATGTTTTGCCGTTAATGCGGCATCATCAGGGTAAAAACAACATCGCTGTCACCCATGTAAATAAATAAATAAATAAACATAAAATGAACATTTACTATTGATAGGACTATCATACAATACAGACGGTCCCAGCGCAGGTAGTAGACTGCCAAAGGCCGACTTGACATGTTGGTTTTGTATTGATTTATTTTTGTATGCTTATGACAGCATGTTGTATGTTTTTTACCCTGACAATGCCCAATTAACAGCTGAATATGTGGATTCCAAACCTAACATCAACAAAAATGTCGATTACTTGATGGGGTAAATTGTATCATAATCATTAGTCTATATAGTAATTCAGGGGCAAACATCATGGAATTTACAAATGATGTTAGTTTTTATAATAAGTTAAAGGGTTAAAAGTTTCTTCAGCTGACACATGTATATTTATTTATTTTACTTATTTATTTATTTTTTATTTATTTTTTTATTTATTTTTTTATTTTATTTATTTATTTATTTTATTTATTTATTTAACAACAGCAATACACAAATTAACAAAGATAATAGTTTGACAGCTACAACAGTGAATGTTTGTGTTTTACACTAAGTTAACAATAATGAATAGGTAATGAAAAGAATAACAATAATAGAAATGAAATGAGTAACAATAAAAAATAATGGAATGAATAACAATAATAAAAAATTAAATGAACAACAATAACGAGTGTTTAATCTGGTGCTACCATGCCACCTAAGGTACTTTTCCCTATAAGGCAAATTCGCTAAAATGATTGAACTCAGCAGAATTTTTCTTTTTTTTATTAGCGAATTTCCCATATAGGGAATAAGCTATTACTGTAGTACTCATGGTAAGACCTGGACTCGGGACCGATTTTTTTTCGTTTTGAGGTACAGGATGAAGGTGTTTCTTAAAACTTGCTACGGATTTTGCTAACATATCTCTAGGAATGGTGTTTATTTCCTGGCGAATAGCTTCTTAAAGTTCCTGTATTGTTTGTGTTTTGTTTATGAAAACTCTAGATTTCAAACTTTCCCCATTAAAAGAAAATCTGGAATTGTAAGATCTGGTGAGCAAGGGCCAAGTGAAACGTGAGATAACTCTTGTAGGGAATGTTCGCCGAAGGAATTCCATACTAATGCGAGTTGTATGGGCTGTTGCCCCATCTTGTTGGAACCATACATTACGTATCTCTACACGTTGCATTGCAGTTCTGGCAAGAAATATTCTTTCAACACATCCAGGTACCGTTGTGCATTCACAGTCACTGCTCTGCTGTCATTTTCTTAAAAAAAATATGGACCGATGATCCACTTTTCACTAAGCGCACACCACACAGTCACACGTAAGCTATGAAGAGGTCTCTCAGCTACGTTTTGAGGATTTTCTGCACACAAAAATCGTAAATTCTGTTTGTTGACTGCTCCGTCCAAGTGGAAATGTGCTTCATCACTCATAAGGATAACTGCTTCGTCATTTTCGTCTAAAATTTCACTCATTGTGTTACAAAGATTTACACGTTGCCTCTTATCTGCTTACTCAATTGATGACATACTAGAGCAGTAAAAATAAGAGAAAAATTCCATAAACCTAAAAAAAATTAGCACAACCGGGGAATTCGGTACAGATGTTGGGTGTACCTTCCTTTTGAACATACTAAAAGTCCCCTAAAATTGAAGCTGTGCTACTGCCACCATATTGGAAAATGGCGGCATATTTCTGTATTTTTCGCTATAGTGACTTTATTATTAGAGATACAGGAAAAAGCTAAGTATACAAAATGTAGGTCATCTAAAAATACACATTTTTTGTATTTACCATCTTTCTCTAAACCCAACGGGTTTTGAGTTATTTGTTGTTAAGTATATTTAGTTTTTTCTATGTATAAAAAAATGGTGAAACACATGGAAATTGACCGTTACTTTCAAGGATTATGATAATTTATCCCATTTAGTTAAATAGTGTGATACTATAAAATCTAAAAATTTAAGCCTATTTTATGAGTAAAACAACTCCGCCACAGCAAACCTGCAGACTCAGCAAATTTCCATTTGATTGGATGTTTTATTAATTGTACTTAAATAAAATTAGATTCAACAGGTACCCAGGTTTGCTGCTACAGGTATGTTATTATAGTGTGTTTTTTTTTTTGTTTTTTTTTTTGTAAAATATCAATAACTCAGTATAAAATAACTAATTTTCCAAGTTTGATCATAATAAATCTATAATCAAACAAACTACAACAGTTAACTAATTCATAAGAATAGCATGGTAGTTTAAGATTTACAATTTACAAATTTAAATATACAAATTTTGGTTGGGTTTACTAAAAATATCACGATTGTTCGTCACGATTCGAATACTAACCGAAGAGGTTTTCAAAAGGAGGTGAAGCAAGTTATTTAAGTACTGTAATATTAACTCGTACCAAGTATCGGAAATATTGTATGCGGTGAGGTAATCAACCATATTTTGTAAACTACGCAATAGTCATACAGTATTAATATTGTATACTCATTTTTACCCATTTAATAAATTAACATTTTAATATTTTGATGGCACTACCACTATCATTCTGATATCAACTAAGTGGGATGAATAATTTTCGTAAACCTCGAAAGTAACCGTCAATTGCGATGGGTTTCACCGATTTTTGATAAATAAAACTAACTATACTTAGTTTTCAAACTATACTTAATTAGCCACCAACATGAACTTGACACGAAAAACAGCGAAAAATTATCATAATCCTTGAAAGTAACGGTCAATTTCCATGTGTTTCAACTTTTTTTGATAAATAGAAAAAACTAAATATACTTAATAACAAATAACTCAAAACCCGTTGGGTTTAGAGAAAGATGGTAAATACAAAAAAATGTGTATTTTTAGATGACCTACATTTTGTATAGTTAGCTTTTTCCTGTATCTCTAATAATAAAGTCACTATAGCGAAAAATACAGAAATATGCGCCGCCATTTTCCAATATGGCGGCCGTAGCACAGCTTCAATTTTAGGGGACTTTTAGTATGTTCAAAAGGAAGGTACACCCAACATCTGTACCAAATTCCCCGGTTGTGCTATTTTTTTTTTTTGTCAAAACATATTTTTATTGTACTATACTTCCGGCTTGAAAGGATGAAAATTAGGATGTTTGAACAAAATCTTTCTCACAGTGGATGGGCGAAGTCCGAGAGCAAATGCCCGCTTCCGGATTGAGCAGCTAGGACTTTGAACTGTTGCAAGGCGCACTCTTTCAACTGCCTCAGGGGTACTAACTGTCCATGAGGTTTCTTCTTAAGCAAAGATCCAGTTGTGTTAACATTATGTATCCAACGCAATATTGTGTTACGATCAGGGATAGCAGTTATGCCGTGCTATGTTAAAATGTGCACTAAAGTCTCGCTGAGTCTGAGTGACTGATTCACCATTTGCGTAATATAGTTGCATGACAAACGTACGATGCTCAAGGTTCCACCACATCTCGGCAACAATTAAAACTGCACACTTCCCCTTACACAGCGCAACAAATTCCGACCGATGCCGGACAATAGTCCTTGTATACTACGTAAATCAAAAACATGCGTTTCCCAGTAATCACCCTGTATTACATTTAGGCCTATAATGTGTTTTTTTTAATTTTTATTGTAAATCCAGTATCAAGTAGCAATGGATATAGAATAATACCCCTGCTGCAGCAAACCTGCCAACTAAGCGAATTTCCATTTGCCTGGATTGATTTTCAATTAACATTTATGTTAAACGAGTACCTAGATTAGCTGATACAGGGAAACTAATAAAGTGTGCTTTTTATTAAAATAGGTATCAATAGTGTGCTTTTTATTAAAATAGGTATCAATATCTTAGTATGAAATAAATAAATCCGCCAAGTTTGATCAAAATATATCCATAAAGTAAACAAGCCAACTAGAACATTTTATAATATTCTCCATAAGAATAACATGATACAGTAATTTTAAATTAACAATTTTTTGAATTTTTTCTGTAACCAATGACCGTACAAAAACACTTTGATATACTAAATTGTTTGTTTTTTATGCTCTTTAAAAAGGTCTGGAGAAAAATTGATAAATTTTGTGTTTTAAGGGTAAAAAATGAGAAAACTCCCCGTTAACCCCCTTTCCCATGGTCCGATCATGCTGGTTCGCGAACTCATTTAGGTTTATCCTGCCTTACCCCTTCAAACCAAATTTTATCAAAATCGGGAAAAAATTACTCAAGTTATTGTCTGGATGGACAAATATATATATCTATATATATATATATATATATATATATACATATATATAAATTTGAACGAATGGTGTCTGGGGACATCAAAATGAAAAAGTAAATCGGTCCCGGTTTACCATGAGACCTACGGTAATAACTTCCCTATAGGGAAATTCGCTAAAATAAAACAAACTTGAACTTGAAATGTATTTACTGTATGTAATTTTGCTTATTCCTTTGAAAACCCTACATGTTTTGTTTTGGAACGAGTGTAACCATCACAATCAGCCTAATCCTATAGGCCTACTTAAAACAAAAACTTTGTAGGCTTTTAAACTAAACTAAAACTATTTTTGTTAAAGGAATTCAGTTAAATACAGCCAAACACGTATATAAAGCAGCGTACCCGTCGAGTTGAATCCTCAGATTATTGACGGATAACTTAAAAATTGAAAATGACAAGAAAGGATAAAACTTGACGGGCACGTTGTCGTCAAATTGTATCCCTCAGACTTTTAAGAGTATCTGTCACCACAAAGCAGAAGAAACAACTTGACGTCAATAGATGGCAACCCACAATTATATCATAAAAAAGATGTCATTAACTGTAACAAAACATTATTTCATGTATTTAAATTTAAGTGTAAATTGTAGAGCCAGAAGTTTAATTATCAAAAATAAATAACACATAATTTTAAAGCATGGAGACAATTTGTTAGTGATCAATTGCTGAAACAGTGTAACGTCAACCTCAGTATATAAAATAGAACAATAGGCTATACTATCCTGGCAGCAGTCTTAAATACACTTATAGGCCTAGTTTCATCCTTAGCCTTTATATAGGGCCTATAACTAAGTTTATGTCCAAGATGCTCACAATTAAGATTATAGGCTACAAGACAATTCTACAGCCAGTGTTATTGTATCGAAGTGAAACATGGGCCCTCTACAAAAAAAATCAAGGACGTTTGATGGTGTTTGAAAACAAAGTAGGCTACTTCAAAAAATATTCCGCCCAGTTTATGAAGAAGGAGTTGGGGCATAAGAAAAAATAGAGAGCTACATGCCCTATACAAAGAGCCTGATATAATTGCGCTTATAAAATACAAAATAATTAGTTGGTTAAAGGTCATGTACTTCGGAGACAGGAAGGCACAAGACTGAACGAGGTTTGTGTACAGGATAAAGTCTGTTGGTTAGGCCTAGATTAAGATGGTATGAACAATTTAAGAAGGATATGATCCAGTGGGGAGGAACAATCCAAATGGCGGAGGATAGAGAAGAGTGGAGGAGGCTAATCTACGAGGCGAAAAATGAACTGAGATTTGTGACGCCCCATCAGTAAGGAGGCTAAGTAAGTAAGTTTATGTTCTTGTGGAGTTTCTGTAATCTCAGCAAAATGGACTTACATTCAACAGCCCCGGAGCTCCAGTCACTTCTCCGTTCTCTGTCACCCAAGGATGCTGCACTGCTGGGACTATCTTTAGCACAGGCTTCTCTAGAGGAAAGTCAGGACCAAGAATGACCAACAGCGATAGGTTATTGCTGCCGGATATGAAGTCTACTCTGTACTCACTGTCTTCTTTCACCTCGGACACACTATTCATAGAAATTATTAGAAAAACTGAAAACTTGTGTAATTCTTTGATTAGGCTTACTTTTAGTTCTCAAACTAGGTTACCTATAACCTAGATTCTATACCTATCTTTAGCAAAAAATGTATTTAAGGTAATTACGGTACTCAGGATTTACTTTTAGCCTATCGTTAGGAATAAACTTTAGACACAGTGTAGTGAAATGTACAGTTGATATGATGAGGTCTTCCCTTGGCAATCCTAATATTGTCGATCCAACGAAATAGATTTCAAATCCTAAGGTTCATCATCAGTCTGGATCTAGCTTACTTGGTATTTACTTGATACTTGATGTCTTCATCTTTGATCCAGCTTGTGGGATTGACTGCGTCAGATGCCTTTCGACTATTTCTTTCCCGTGAATAGTGGGATTTCTTCTGCATCATTCAGGGTGCATACTGGCCATTCTAATATTTCATTTTTGATGTGGTTCTTGAAATTTGAAGTTGTAAGGCTTTTCACGTTAGCTGAGAGGCTGTTAAACAGTTTTATGGCTGCAATTGGAAAGGATTTTTGTGTTTTACTCAACCTGCACTTTTGGACTTCCAGATTTTGAGCTTTAAACGAGTTTGATGTTAGTGTATGGTAGTTTGGTCATTAAAAAGATTGATATTCTGTTTTATGTAGTTTAGAGAGTTGCCTACTGGTTATAAACTGTGAAGATTCTAAATTTTTTTAAAGAGGCGACAATGTTCATGGTCATGAGTCGAAGCCATAACTTTTAGCGCATTCTTCTGCAGAATAAGAGCATCACTGCAGGCAGCCGAGTGTCCCCACAACAGAAGACCATAGGCTAGTTCAAATTTGACTGTGGAACAACGCATAATAAATTCCCAGAAGGTGATCCACAGTCAGGACGCCTTTGTCAATTTACTAAGACAAATTAGGTACTCTTGATAATTTTGCACAGACCTTGGCCACATGAAAGTTAAAATCATGCCTGTTATCTAGCCAGAAGCCTAGAATTTTGACTGGTTCATTGTTCCCTGCTGGAATTTCTCTTTTAAGAGACAATAATATTCTTTGAGTTTTATCTTCATTCAGTTTTAACTTGTTGCTCTGGAACCAGTTTTTAGCAGAGGTGAAGGTTTCATTGGCATCTGACATAACGTCTTCAACACTTCTAATTTATCTAATCTTGTCTGCACAATTTTTAGTGCAGACAAACCATTTGTGGTTTTTGCACTTTTGTATCCTATGTATTGGCAATTATTGTGTAAATAAATTTCTTGATTGATTGATTGATTGATTGACTTCAATCCTCTGTTTACCAAGGTTGAGTCATCAATCTCAACCAAATATCAAAAGTTAGATCCACCAGAAGGGGTTTGTAGAAGATAAAATAACACTGAATAGCTTACTGTACAATAAACATGAATTTTATATATAAATTAGGACAAAAACCATAGATCGACATTATTAGGGTTGCTAGGTAAGTTAAGACCACAACATACCTATCAATGACTACCGTACTTGCTCAATATTCATAAATAATACCTATTCTAGTTATATATTCGACTAACTTAGTCAAATGAAATAGTCGATAGCCTATATCGAATGGTCTATAAGTTATATTGATATTTTTCATTCGAATGAGTGTAGAAAATGAACTAAAATGCAGCTGACGAATTGGTATAATTATCAGGATTACTGGTAGTACTCACTAGTGTGGACGTCAAACTTAATCCACACCAGGGAGTATCGCATTCAATTAGCCTACTTGATATGATATGATCTAAGCCTTAAGCCTTGGAGTACTAGATAGGCTAGGCCTAAGCCTGAGTTATTATTGTATGTATCATATGAGCAATAAGCGCCTAGGCTAGCTTAGTGATATTCAAAAAAATAGGTTCACTTACTTTGCATTGAATATCTTAAGAGTGTCTATTTGTCTTCTTCTTTTTGATAATATATTATCAAACATAGTGGGTAACATAATTAAGTAACAGTAGCCTATGGGAAACAACTAACTTATAGAGCACAAAAAAGCTAGGTTATGTGTAGGCCTACTACATGAAATCCTATTTCCTATTATACTATACCGGTAATGAATGAATTAACCATAATAAAACACAAATAAAAGAAGCTCCAAAAACCACTCCCCCATATTAATAAAACATGTTAATGTTTATAAATTGATAAATTTACGAAGGTCTAAAAAAATACAAAACAACACGAAGAGACGAAGAGAATAATAAAATGAGATCGACGTCAGCCTCAGATGGAGATTGGATTGGAGTGGACTGAGAGGAGATGGAAATGGAATCGGCATCGGATCGGATCGGAATGAATCGATGATGACGGAGGGGTGTTTGGCCGTAAATTTTTATGTCTGATTTTTTGTTATTGTTTAATTGTACTAAAAATTAGAGATACAAATATATAAGAAAAAATGTTTTATTTTGAATATTAAGCGAGATATGGAGCTTGAAAGTAGTAAATTTTTAATCTTTGGTACCAGTTCACAGGGAGAATGGGTAATGCGATTCTCACCAAAATTTGCATTCAGGTGTGGAAAAATAAGATAATAATCACTAGCTATTTAAAATTAAAAAATTAAAAAAAATTATTTTTTATTTTTTATAATTTTTTTAAAAAATTAAAAAAAATTTAAAAAAATTTAAAAATAGCTCTTTGTTTTTGGGAAAAATGTATCTGTATGTTGGAATAAAAAAAAATGTCATATGTTAACTCATTTGGGCTGTGAATTCGTACCTTTGATGCCTTGCGCTGTCGGAGCACTACTCGTTGAGAGTTTGTACACTAACACCGGGGCTTTAGAATACTTTAACATCACGTAATTATTAACATCCTTTAACATTGAAAGAATACGTTTATCGTTGTATTCTAAAGCCCCGGTGTTAGTGTACACACTCTCAACGAGTAGTGCTCTGACAGCGCAAGGCATCAAAGGTACGAATTCACAGCCCAAACGAGTTAACATATCACATTTTTTTTTATTCCAACATACAGATACATTTTTAAGAGCTATTTTTAAATTTTTTTTTAAAAAATTTTTAATTTTTTAAAAAATTTATAAAAAATAAAAAATAAATTTTTTAAAAATTTTTTTAATTTTAAATAGCTAGTGATTATTATCTTATTTTTCCACACCTGAATGCAAATTTTGGTGAGAATCGCATTACCCATTCTCCCTGTGAACTGGTACCAAAGATTAAAAATTTACTACTTTCAAGCTCCATATCTCGCTTAATATTCAAAATAAATAATTTTTTCTTATATATTTGTATCTCTAATTTTTAGTACAATTGAACAATAACAAAAAATAAGACATCAAATTTTTGACCAAACACCCTTAATTTTGTATGGAAAGCGAATACAATACAACAAATACATGGGGAGCAAATTTCGTTTACGTATAAGAGGAGTGGGATTATAGATAAATATATGCCGATGCTTGATGGCAAATTAGTGCGTGCATACCTTCAATTTGAGACCTCAATCATGAGAATCGGTCGGGTAGAAGAGCCAAACGAACTCGGAAAAGAGAAACCAAATTTAACTCCCATAAGAAATACATGGGGAGAAAATTTCGTTTACGTATAAGAGGAGTGAGATTATAGATAAATATATGCCGATGCTTGATGGCAAATCTGTGCGTGCATACCTTCAATTTGAGACCTCAATCATGAGAATCGGTCGGGTAGAAGAGCCAACCCATGTAGCACAGATGGTTGGGCCAACGTTGGCCAACTGTGGGACAGTTGGTCGATGGTTGGTTGGAGCTTCCACAACCAACCAACCGTTGTCCAACTGTATATCTCGTAGTTGGGCCAACCAATATTTACAACTGTGGACCAACATTGGTTCATTGTTAATGAAATACATTAATATGCATTGCTGGGTATCATACATCATAGTTGAGGTTCATAGTTGAGTTTACACGACTTTCATTCTCTGGGTCTAGCTTTCACAACATAATTATAATAAAATATCTGGTTTTACAATACCTTTATCAGTTCCAAAAGTTTCCAAAAGTTTTTGGAACTGATAAAGGTATTGTAAAACCAGATATTTTATATATTACAGTTCCGGCGCTACAACAATGAATTTTAATAATTTTAATAATGCAAATATTTTTTAAATTAATATTCTTTAACTTATTTGCAACAATTTAAGGGGAAAGAGTAATTAATCATATAACAGGCAATTATAATAGCATTAACAATCTAACGGTAATTAATTAATCATTCAAATACCAGTATCCTCTCTAACTCCAAAAAAAAAAAACTACTTATGATGCCTTAACAGATTAACAGAATCATATTATACTGTGTAGTATCAAAAATGTTTGAAGTATTGCGACCATTGCAACTGTCGGCTACTCTTTCACCACTTGAAAACTCTCTATATCAGCAATCACAGATAGCTCAGTGGTAAAGTAAGAGGCTCATAAGTCGAAGGACCCGGGTTCGAGACCCGTCTGGGCCAAAAAGATTTTGTTCAAGTTTTTTTTCAAAATTTGTTTTTATGAACTATTTAATCAATTTACTCAACTAATAATTATGCTTTTCGTACTAAATCTTTATTATTTTGTGTGAAATAAAACAGTTGGACAATGGTTGGCTGGAAAACAGTTTAAAGAGGTGACATTTCTACCGTTGGCCAACTGTGTGGCTCCACAATTTACCAACGTTGGCCCAACCATCTGTGCTACATGGGAAACGAACTCGGAAAAGAGAAACCAAATTTAACTCCCATAAGAAATACATGGGGAGCAAATTTCGTTTACGTATAAGCGGAGTGGGATTATAGTTAAATATATGCCGATGCTTGATGGCAAATTAGTGCGTGCATACCTTCAATTTGAGACCTCAATCATAAAAGTCGGTCGGGTAGAAGAGACAAACGAACTCGGAAAAGAGAAACCAAATTTAACTCCCATAAGAATCACACGGAGGGCAAATTTTGTTTACGTATAAGCGGAGTGGGATCATAGTTAAATATATGCCGATGCTTGATGGCAAATATGTGCGTGCATACCTTCAATTTGAGACCTCAATCATGAAAATCGGTCGTGTAGAAGAGCCAAACGAACTCGGAAAAGAAAAACCAATGTTTTTATATATAAGAAGATATGTTTTTTTTTGTTTGTTGATTCTGAAAAATATTTATTTATTGTTGTTGTCAGCTGATAAGTTTCAATTTGTTAATACCAAAATATCGAATAAAAAAATAAAATATCGGTACATCGAAAATAAATCATCGATAATAATGAATGTTCATTTTAACAGGAAAGTACCCCAAATTTCATCAATATCAGACCACAGGTGTAGTCTAGTAGATCTGTACACATCCACACACACGCAAACACACACACACGCACGCACACACACACACGGACATAGACACCACCTCTTCTTTATAATAGCTTTCCTCGTGTTAAATTTGTAGCCAACTTTTTAATCAAAATCGTTGTAGTTGATGTGAGCCACCTACAGATTGCGCTGATCTAAATTACTAAATTCTGCCTAATACACAATCTTTTAAACCAAGTCAAACTTAGGGAATCACTTTTGATGAGTTTTAGCAACTGTTATGACCCATCAACCTGGTCAGTAACAAAAAATAAGATACAAAATAGCATTTTAGACACTAGAACATTCTGTGACTGGCTCACACAACTCCATTCTTTTTTTTAAATTGGGTACAACTGGTCCATATAGACGGGAAGTCTACTTCAGTATCCAATAGTCAATGATAATAGTCCTATAGATAGATAGATTACTAATATAATGGTAATTAAATAATCTATATTCAAATGCCAGTATCCTCTCCAACTCCCAGAAAAACAAAACAATTCAACTACTTGATGCCTAAACAGATAACAGAATCACATTATATACTTTAGTTGTATCAAAAATATTTTAAGTATTGCGACCATTGCAACTGTCGGCAACTCTTTGACCACTTGAAAACTCTTAATAGCAACAAGCACTAATAGCTCAAAGGTAAGATAAGAGGCTCATAAAGACAAGGCATCAGGTTCGATACCCGTCTGGGCAAAAATATTTGTTCTAGTTTTTCCAATTTGTTTTTTTACCTATTTAATTAATTACTCAACTAATAATAAATTATGCTTTTCATACTAAATCTTTATTATTTTGTATTTTTATTTTTAGGTCCCATGGGATGGTTGGCCCTTCGTTAATATTTGGTTGGTTGGCTAACCGTAAAACTTAGTACCAAAATATACCGATGGCCAACCATCGACAGAGACGTTGGGCCAACAATTTGCCAACAATTTTAGCTTCTTGCGAGTGCTTAATCAACCACACACAGCAGTTAGCATTTACGAGGCAAGGAAGAATCACTATCTTCTCTGTGTTCTCTCCCCGTCCGTGGTGAGGCACGGGCAGAACAACTGGTATTTATAAATATACAAACTGGAAGAGTGAAAATGTTTGATTCTTGCATTTCTTACACATCATTTCTCCAAAACTAAGTTTGCCATTGCCCTTTACTTTTCACTTTGAATTTTGAAAAAACATTTAATCAGACAAGTTTTTATTATTTTAAACAATATGAAAAAGTAAACACGTAGCTAAATCGTTTTTGATAATAAAATAATAATAATAAATAAAATGTTTTAAAACACAAAAAAGTGAAATTATGTTAATAAAATTGAAGTGATTTTCAAGTTTATTTATTTCTCACGATATTTTATCGTGAACAAGTGTGACATTTGAATCTTTTTTCACGTGAATTCTACATGAACAATGTAAAAAGGTACATAACAATAATTTCACGTGAATTTATTGTGTCCGTGCTACAGTATCTGGAAATTCACCCTCACACTCATGGTAGCGGAGCCTCCAACACCTCATATTACAGTACTGTATAAACATTATACATCATTCCTGTATTTTCCAGTAGTCTTTAATCGGTGGTGTGACAACAGGACTGAATTTGACCTGGTCCGTTCTGGGTCCGTAGGCGCAGCCATGCGGATAATTTCAGGGGTGCGACATTAGGACTGAGGGAGATCTCCCTCGCCGCGTCGCTTTCTTCCCGTTCTCCCTACCCTCACAGACACAGGCAAGAGAACTAATCACCTAATGGAGTCGTTCACTAGGTCGCTGAGAACGCATCACCTCATGGAATCGTTCACCTAATTGCTGCGTCGTGTTTTTGAGAGAACTTGACTGTGCGG